GGTGACATACCGCTCCATGTGCTGCATGTTGCTGACATCGATCAGACGTGACAACCCACACCCTTGGGCACCCATCCTCCCTCAACGCTGCAACCTTTCAAATATGACAGTTGTAATCAATTAATTGAATAAAATCAAGTTATAGAGCTATTTTCTATGATGGGGGAATCCACGTCTTTTTTGTATCGTATATTCCGTTGATGTTGGCCTCAGTCCTGGTCTAATGCACACAACCGCAGTAAAACATGTTCAGTGTAAGAAACAAGGCCTAATAGAAGCATAATCACCTCTTTCTCTATCCATGCATCAGCACAGGTTTCAGTTGAATAGACTATATCAACACTGCAAAATGATACCATCTTATTAGAATGCATCCAAACTCACAGAAAGTTCAACATTTAAGACCATCTGGTAGTAGGCAATTAAAATACCAAAAAATATTAAATATATTAGGTTATGAGTGATACCCAGCAAAATTTTCTTTGTGCATTGGAAGGCCGGACATCATAGCATCAAAAACAACTACCACTTTAACCTCTGTAAATTTTGCAATGCAATAACAAGGCAGAGTTAAAAAAAAAAAAAAAAAGGTGCACGTCATAAACCGATGAAAAGATTATAGTACACTATATTAAAAAATAAAAAATCTTGGCATGTCTTGGAGAGCATTGTTGAATGTATCCTCAATTTTGTTTTTACCACAAATCCAGGTAGGGATGGCAGGAGAAGCAATTTCGCTCTTCTTTTTACGGAAAAGAGTTAAATAGAAGAAATAACTATGTTATTTCATTAATTTGTTTGTATCGCATTATACTTTCATTTCTTCAGATTACAGCATTGTATGCCGAATAATCTCTTTAACTATATCATTTTCATCCAAATACAAAACACATTTTTAAAAAATGAAAGAAAAAATTGTAAGTACAATTATGTACTAGAAAGAAATGAATGTAGGATTCTATAATACACAAATACATGAAAAATACATGCCCAATAAAAGTAAAAAATGACAAGTCTTAGGCTTTTACCCTATATATATATATATATATATATATATATATATATATATATATATATATATATA